GGCTGTGGGGGGGATGGGGTCGGGGGGTGCCTGGCTCAGAGGGTCTGGGCTTGGAGCTGGGGGTCAGGGCGGTGGGGGATGGGGTAGGGGGGTGCCCGGCTCAGAGGGGCTGGGCTCAGAGCTAGGGGTCAGGGCTGTGGGGTGATGGGGTAGGGGGGTGCCCAGCTCAGAGGGGCTGGGCTCGGAGCTGGGGGTCAGGGCTGTGGGGGGCTGGGGTCATGGGGGTGCCTGGCTCAGAGGGGCTGGGCTCGGAGCTGGGGGTCGGGGGGTGCCCGGCTCAGAGGGGCTTACCATGCCGCCTCCCCCCTCTCCCAGAGCCTCAGCGAGCCGCGTCCAGGAGCTCCTGCCGCTCGGCCCGCCGGAGCTCGCAGCCCCGCCCCGTTACCACGTGGCTCCGAGCGGGAGGACCTCAGGCCCCGCCCAAGCCACGCCGCTGCAGCACTGTCCAGGGCTGCTCCTGGACGCGGTGCGCTGTGGTGCCGGGGGATGGGGGAAGGCAGAGGCGGGGGGGAGCATCTGACATTCTCGTCGGGGCCCCTGTGGGGCCCGGGGCCTGGGGCAAATTGCCCCACTTGCCCCCCCCCCGGGCGGCCCTGCTGTGTGGAAAGGCCTAGGGCTTGTGGGCCATTTGAAAGAAGGGATGTTCTTAAGCTGAAGCTTGAAGGAATAAAATGAGACATGGCAGACAGGGAATGTTGGGGAAGGGGTCCCTGGGTAGAGCCCACATGGGAGACGGCAGAACAGTCGCATTGGCATAGCTGCCAAGCTTGACGACGAACAAGGTGGTTAATTCTTCCTCCACATTATCATCCGGAGAACAAGCCAAAGCTGGCTGTTAACCACATTTGAGGGTAATATTTCTGGAAATGATGGTACCATATCCTAGGCAGCTCCGGCCATGCATTCGTAGGCCAGCCAGGTTGTGGTGGTGATTTGTTGCTTTTCCTTTCAAATGGTACCAACACATTAAAAGCAGCCCATCCCCGGTTGCGGGTGCCCTGTTTTCAGAGGTGGATGGTGCATGCTGAACCTCTTTTACCCATTTCAAATGGTATGGATTTGGTAGGTGAAATCAGATGAAATTGTTAGGTACAAGTTATTACTGAGAAATGTTTCATCTTGATGGCATGATCCAAACAAGCGTGTAATCCCCTCCATTGCTTTGTCTTTACGAAAGGACCTGGTAGGGAAAGCACAGGTGGTGATATTACATGGGCACCAGCTAGCAGCAAATCATCATTATGCGCTCAGCTTAATCTGTCAGCAGTGCAATGAGCTGCGGCACCATTCTGACGTCCTGTCGGAGGAGATCAAGAGGAAGCACGTACGACTCCGGATGACCTTAGATCTGCACACCCGCCTGCAGCAGGTAACAGTCAGAACTATGATGCACCGGGAAGTGGCTGTTTAACCCCTCTGGGTGGATCTCCTGCAGACCGGACATCTTGGCTACAAGTATCCTGCATGCAATGCACATCTTGTGGTGGCGATACTCTGCTTCTATAGCTCACACTGGGACAGCGCCCCTCTTTGTCCTCCTCTAGTGGCTGTGTCACACAAGACGTTAACACATCTGCTACCATGGTTAGCTCAGGCAGATGAGGCCTATGATTTTAGGGTTGAAGGTCCCAGGTTCATGCCCTGTGGTACACCCAAGTGGGTCTGGTTGTACTCGAGTCTCCTCTGTGGTAGCCCCCTCTAATCATTCCCCATGTGATCTCCACATGTGGTGCTTAGTGTTGTTTCTGATGGTCCATGTCGCGCTGTCTGGAGTGGCTCATGAGTGAGAATACCAACCTCAGGGCAGACTGTTAGGAAGCAAGGCACAAACCCTAAAGTGGTTGTGAGTTCTATACTTAAAGTTCATCAACCCAGTAACAAGTGTTACAGACTGTCCCCTTGTGCCTTCCGATCTATCTTGTCTCCCAGGCAAGCTTGACTCTGTGATAAGCCGTCACTTTACGCCAAAATCACAAGATATTCTGGTTACCCGCAGTCCCAAAGGACCAGTCACTTACCCCAGGCTGATTTGCACTTAGATCTCACACCAGAGCCAATGCTTGTAGCCAATCTTATAGTAAAGTAGGGATATATTAACTAAAGGAAAGAAATGAGAATTATTTACAAGGTTAAAGTTTCTAGCTAATCCCTCAGAGGTTGGCTTCTGCCCTTGTTTTCTAAGTGCTTATTAAAGTAATTCTGGACCATCTCATTGACTATATAGAAGTCTGATCCTTTTAAAAACCCTATTCTGTTCTCGGTCATTGCAATATCACCTTGTGGCAATGAGTTCCACAGTTTAATTATGGTAATTGAGTGGCATGCATAGAACTTTCAGATGTTATTTATATAATATTATAGGTATAAAACTGTAAACTACTGGTATTAAGTACCTTGTTAAAAAAATATGGACACAATGATGTCAGCTATTCATCACAACTCAAACTCTGTTGAGCCCAACTAGTTAGTCACTAAACACATTAATGGCTGATCTTCTTGTTCATTTTGTCACGTTTACTTTCAGAGCAAGATAAATAATACGGGAGGAGTTATGTACCAAATTCTACTTTTATGTCAGTGGCATACGAGTGATTTTGCACCAGTGTAGCTGAGAGCAGAATTTGGCTGGCAATGTTAGCCATTCTCCGGAAATTTAAGGCCCTACTTCCCTATTATCAGAATGCAAGGGAGTTGATTGAACTTCTCATAAAGCTAATTAGCTTTCTGGTTTTCTCCAAATTGAAAAGCAGATTAAGTGAATGCTAAATTAATGGGTGATAAATATTTTTCATTTATACGTTGGTTAACTGGAGGTTTCAGCTCACTGATCTGTTTACTCCTCATTTGTGTTACACTTTTATCAGGCCCTCGAGTGCTGTGATGAAGGGGCTAATCTTCTAGCTAATCAGCCAATGGATAAATGCCAATCTAAAGAAGGTGCTCAGAAAGCTCTTCAGGATATAGACAAATTTCTTGAAAGTTCTTTGCCGTACTTAAGCTATGATCCCCAAGTCCTGTGCTATGACTTTGAATCTGTCTTAACGCCTGAAATAAAGGTAAGATACCTCACTGTCCTCTTTTAAAAATAATAATAATACAATTACAATACAGTTGCAAGATCACCAGCCTTTGTATTGTCTCTGTTATAGTGACAAATAATAATAATAATTTGCTTACCGTTGTCTTATTCGCACTCCGCAGGGCCAGATACAGTCAGTCCAGATCAAGCTTGAAAACGTTCGAAGTATGTTTGAGAATCGGCAAACTTGCTTCAAAAAGCTTGTGGATAAACAAGTGCGGCCTGTTCAGTTAGTAGCCCCTCGACCAGAAAACCCACCAAGGTCGAAATCTCCTTTATTCTCTCCCAAACACGGTAAAAGTATTTTTAAGTTTCTGTCATCTTAAAACGTTCAGCTTTGTTAATTTTGCTCTGAGCTGCGAAAGAATAAGTCTAAGTGTAGTTTTGAGAAGTAAGCTAGAATTTATGGGCTGATGTAAAATTACTATATCAGTGTTAAATGCTTAGGAGATTGCCACCTCTCAAGTTTTGGGCTCGAGTCTCTGATTAATGGGTAAGTAACGTATGTTTGGAAGTCTCCCATGTGGTGCATAGATGGGACAAAGATCCCTGTCGTATTTAAGTTTATGTTGGTCTCTGCTACTGTATGGAATGTTTTAGCTTCATAAGCAGAATATAGTTATAAGTAGAGATGTGAGTTATTGAAAATTCTTGAGCTCTTTGAAGTTTTGGGGCCTTCAAGTTTCTTACAGTTTTTATTTCAGTTGTGAAAAGGTTGCATGAGAATGGGTGCAATATTTTCTCCACTGTCCGTGTAGACAAGCCGATGCAGTTTTTCTACGTTCATTTTTGAGGCTCAAGCTGGTTTGGCTGGGATTGGTTGCATGGTATTTATCCCGAAAGACACAGTGCAGACTTCCCCCGCGCTGTCCCACCAGACAGCCTGCAGTGCTAAATTGGAAGTGAAATTAGGGTTACATGGGAAAAGGACAAGAACCTATTAAAACGTATGAACATATTTATTTTCTATATCAAGAAGTCCTCACTGAGCAATCTCATCCATATACTTAGAGCCGCAGCTGACACAGATTTTGGCTGACATTTTGCAGGAACCTAAGGAAATTAGTCACCAGATCCCACTGAAATTGAAAGGAAGTAGGGTGCTTAACTTCCTTAGACTCACTTAAAAACTCCCCTCTTAAGCCCTTATTATGAAATAACAAATGTCCCTAAAAAGCCAAATTCTGGGAAATAAAGGTCCATGGATGTTCTGCCCAGAACAGTATTTGGACCGATGTTTGTTTAAATGATGAAATTAAACTTTTTTTCCTTAACACGTATTTATATACCAGTATAAACAAGTTGTCCAAGGTAATGCTCAGTGGTTTGACTATGTAAGGCAATTAATTTATGATCTACATGAGGATCATTTTTCTTAGCATATGCACAACGTGACCAGGATTCATCACCGAATTTGGTCTGCTGGTTGGCTCATTAGCTTCCCCGGCCCAGGCCGGTTAGTGACGGGGACGCTGATCCATGATCGTTAATTATTTATTATGATATTAGGTATGTTATGCAGTGCCTTAGAGCCCTCAGCTGAGATCAGAACCCCGTTGAGCTAGGCTCTATACATGCACATGTTAAGAAATGCTCCCCACTCTGGAGAATTTATACAGTAAATAAACAAGGCAGGCAAAGATGGGAGAGGAAACACAGTAAGAGAGAGGTGAAGTGACGAGCCCAAGGTCACACACGTCAGCGTTGAGAAAAGCCCCAAGTCTCCTGACCCCTGTCCAGTCCCTGTTCAAGCATTTCCTCTGAAGCATTACTCATCAACAGTATTGTGATGGCTTTTTAAAATCAAAGCGTTGTGGCTATTTCGTAATGTTTCGTCGTTGGCATTTCAGAAACAGAAAAGTGATAAAGAGAGAACTTTGCCTTAAAGATTAGGGCAAATTGTGTGACCTGTCGCTGTCTGTGATGTTTTGGGATCATCCACACCAGTAAGGGGTTCTGTCACCGCCTGTCTGGTAACCTTGGGTACTTTAATGCTATTCTGCGGTGATTCACAGCCCTGACATCAGGAGCCAGCCCATAATCATAAAGCTCTCATCCTGGTCTACTTAGTCCTGGCAGAGTGACCCCAACAGCCCTTTCACTTCCAAGTCTCCCCAAATCCATCATCCTGAGTCCCTAATGACCAGACGCGTAGACTTTTCCTCTCTGGTTTGTCAACCATGAAGGTGTGAAACCAGTCCGCTTGCTTTGGCACTCAAACTCCACACAGTTTGCACACCAGGGACCTGCTTGGGGTAAAAATAAACAAGAAGTTTATTTAATAGAAAAAAATCACGGATTCGAAGATGAAATAGCAAGGGAAGCAAACACGTGCAAGCTACGAGGACAATAAACATAAAGATGCATCTTCAGGATGTATGTACCCTTTCAAATGAGAGAAAAATCCCTTTTCTAATACATCTATTGGCTTTGAACTGTTTCTCAGCATACTCCCTAACTGTAGGGGGATCCAGGGTTCATAGACAGCTTCCCACTTCGATGTTGTCCCTCAGTCTCTGAATAGGTTTCACTTCAAACCCCTTCCCCTTTAAAAAGGATTTTCAGGGTTTTTTCCCCCTTCGGTCACTGTAGAAATTCAAAGTGGGGAACCCCCTTCCCCCCACCTTCCTTAGTTTTCCAGGACGGGGGGTTTCTTTTCAGTTTCTAGTTGTTTCAGTATTTTCCCATGAACTCTAGTGCCCATCATTTGTCTTTTCCTGGGTTATACAGTGGTAGGTGCTTAGGGCTCATCTCATCTGGAGGGGGAGGCAGCCCTCCTCCCCCGCCTGACCACTTACCGCCCTGCTGTTAGAGGGAACTGAAAACTGCAGCACAAATTAGGAACACAAATAAATTCATATATACATATAAATACATAACCACAATCTGTATGAATATCTCATAATGACCGTCAAGTTCAGAACGTTACAGGCTTTCATAAAAGACCTTATTCAACATATTTTTATAGCATAGTAACATTGTATAGAGCTTATTCTTTGGGGTTCTACCCTGGGGATGCCTGGACCCTGAATGTCACACCATCACAGTGGCTATCTGACTGGATGTATTTGATGCTGTTCCCTTAAACACTGTCCATTTTAAAGGCATGAGATCAGTCATAACGGACAGGTACCCTGCATTAATCTTAACCCTGAAAGACGCGAACAAGCATCTGGAAATGAGCACAGCCACCAAAGGGCGAAAAGATGAAAGGCATTTCTTTTGGCAAGGTCTCCATTTCACACTGAAACATCGAAATGGCTTGATCTGAACCGGTGGGATATCTTGTGTCAAAGATCCATCCTGGGATGCACTGAGTGTGCTTTGCGTTCTGCAGACACTAGGGCACCAATTAAAAGCAAGCTACCGGCAAGCACGCTTTTTTGTGCTCTTTTCTTTTTGTTTTTTTTTAAGAGAGTAGGGACTTCCTCCTTTCATCTGTGCCCTGGGTTTGAACTTCTCTGTTGGGGGGGGCAGGTCTATTTTTAAAACTACTTTTGAAAAAATGTAAACCATAAAATAATGTAGTACCGCATACTGAAGTGCAGTAAAGTGCAATAATGTTATGGCTCTATAATAAAGTAACGTTAACGGCTGTAGTTTCAAACTTTGCCACCTGAGTCGCAGACACAGAATATAGGATGATCCCGAGGTCCTGAGCCCCTTCCAGTCTCAGTGAAGTCTCTGCTGCTGTCAATGAGAGTTGAGGTTGCTCAGTGCTATATAGGCAATACTCACATACGTGCATCTGACGCTCCTGCAAAATGTGTACAAAAGAGTCTTTGCTTATGTAAAGGGGATGGTTATACCCACAAGAACCATGCAGACATGCAAATATATGTCATGCACATGCAGATATGTGCTTTGTAGGCACCGCTGAGGAAGACACATTTTACAACTGCAGTTTAGGAATGAAGATTTCAAAATGTAGCCAGTCAAGGGTGTGTGTCAAACAAAGCAAGGCGAGGTAAAGTTAAGGACAACATTTCCAACCTATTGTATAGGTACAGAGGAGGAGGCACCAGGATGGAATTTGATCATCAAACTGCAATGAGGTTTTTCATTTGTGGCTTTCGACCAGCTCCTTTTAAGGTGCAGTTCAAGTTTGAAAATTACCAATCTAACAATGACAACTAGACACACTCCATTCATTTATTCCTTGTGTGTATTCAGTCCTATCTGCTAAACCTAATGACAAAAATCAGTTTGACTGTGATTCTCTCCTGATAGTCCTGCTGAATCAACACAACTAAGAGGGCAGGAACTGGATTCTTTTCCCTCTCGTGCATCATCAACAATTGTTGACGTAGTTCCAATCAGTTACAGCTGTCTATCTGGTTAGCACTGGTGTTACAGAGGGCGTGATATGAAGATAGTGGAGATGCACAGATGTCACATGTGCCATGGGATATAATTTGGCCTACAGGACCTTTTGTAAAGCAGTAAAGGATCCAGCTTGATTCTCAGAGTGCTGGCTGAATTTGCAGGGCTGGCAGTTCGGGAAGAAAAAGCTTGACTTGTAAAAAGAGCATCTAAGATATGGAAACCGTTGAGAGACAAATAAGTTTAGAGCGCCACAGGGCCATTCTTACGTTTGCTCTTCACTGCCGAGCCTCGCTTCTAAAAGCGAAGGGATGTTCACCCTGGCTTGCCAGTGGCATTTGTGGGCTGCATTACAGTAGCTAAGCCACAGGCCAGGAGAATGGCAAGAAGATGATAATGGGCTTCTGATCAACAGGAATCACTGGAGGGGCCTTCTCACTGACTCCTAATGTTCTGGTTGTAACTGTACAAGCGACTGTCCTCCTTGTACGTATCAATCCAAATAACACTGAGAGACAGAAAGTTTCCTATTTTAAAAAGTAGGAATTTTGCTGAATGTGTTACAGTAATTTCTACCTTTTCATTCTGAAAAACATGAGTGTAAATACGCAGGCTCGATTGCTGGAGAATGATCCCCCCCCCGTAAATTCAGCAAAAGGGAACCAGTGTTTAAAATACTTTTCTTGCACCTTCATTGCCCCATTTTTAAATTGCAACACGATATTACCATTGGAGGATATTTTTTCTTCCAATGACTTGCGACAGAACATCTGTGTTCAATCAGTGTCGTTTGTTTTTAAATATCGTCACTGATCTTTTACTTCAATGGAAGTCTCAACAATGAGACAAGTCCTTTGGTCAACCATGCTTATTAATGGCTCTATTGTTAACTTTTTTGATGCTTCAAATATGTATTCCCCACCTTCTCTCCAGCAGTCACCCTTTGCGGTTGAAGTCTTTTTCAATCTAACTGGTATATAAAGGCATCACTGGAATAGTAATTTCTAATCATTTTATTTTGTAACAGCACATTTTGAAGACGAGAAGCCTTCTCTCCATATCTGTTTCCATTCCTCTGCATCAATTTTTTCTCCCTGCATCATTTGCTCATTGCTTCACAAAAGGTGGTTCTTTTGTATAAATACTATTCAACATTTTAAATAACCTAGTTCCAGTTCCTTTTTGTACTCTCATCTGCAGCAATACGTTTTTCCCTATTGAAAAGAATCTTTCATTAACGTTGCTTTATTTTTGCCTGTGCTGACTTATTCTTTGATTTTTAACTAGTGTGAAGATGACAAGTCTTAGGAATTTTTATTTTAATTGGTCTCAAAATTGCGTACAGTCCTTCTTATAACAAGTCACACAATGATCAAGTACCTGCTTTCCCCCAAACAGGAGGGATAGCTCAGTGGTTTGAGCATTGGCCTGCTAAACTCAGGGCTCTTACTAGTGAGAGACTTTAAAATCATCGTTTCATATATTGGTCATTATGAATTATTTGTATTCAGGTAGCACCTGGTGACCCCATGTGAGATTGAGGCCCTATTGTGATGTGCACTGTATGCATAGTAAGAGAGAGGCCTTGTCCCAAACAGCTTCCAATCTAAATGGCCAAACGGTGAGGAAAAGGGCAGTATTATCTTCCTCATTTTGTTTTCGGGGAAAGGAGGCACAGAGGGTATGTCCACACAGTGTTTTTGGAGCGAGCGGGAGCGTGCTTGCAGCCTGGGTCAACAGACTAAGGTGGCTGGGCTCACGCTAGTGCTCTAAAAAGAGCTGTGTGGACAGTGCTTTCAAGCTGAGACTTTGGCTGGAGCTCAGGCTGTGAAACCCACCCCCTGCCCTAGGTTTCAGAGCTGTCTAGACGCCTGTTTTTAGAGCGCACCAAGTCTGTCGACCCAGGCTGGGAGGTTGGCTTCCGCTCGCTCCAAAATGTGGTGTAGACATAGCCAGAGAGGTTTTAGTGTCTCCCCCAATGACAGAGAGTCAGGAATGGAGTCCATATCTCCTGTGACCACAAGACTGTGCTTCCTGTCATACTGGTGATAGATGAGATAGAAAATGATTCCGTTCCTTTGAGACAAAAGCTCCATCATTTTAGATTGACTTTAGTAGTAGAAGCCTTGGTAGCACGGTGCCCCACTCTGAGAGAGCTTGAGGGCAGGGTGGCCAGCGGGATGGGTGGGGCAGAGATGTAGCTTTCTGTGGCACTCTCCTTTTATCTATTTTGCTCAGAATGTGGGCAGTAGGTAATGCAGCTCAGAGTTTCAATACCTTCTGTGGCCGCTACTCTGCAGGCTTGGTGGGATCCAGCCTGTAGTAATGCAGCTCTTGCTGCAAGGGGGAAATGGAATGGCAGTAGAGTCTGGAGTTATCCATTAGCCTAGCTCATATCTCATTGCAGAAGAGAATGCTGTTACTGTCCGCAGAGGACCCCAAGGGCTGGGAGGCAACACAACCTCAAAAATCCACTGCTCCTAAGTCCCTTCCACCACAGATGCTGTTTCAAATCCCCTCCTCCTATGTCTTCTTGCCAGTGAGATGGGGAGAGTTGGTCCTTAGTCACTTTTAATTGCTCTGATATTCCTTACTTTAGATGCAAGTATTTCTGTTGTGGGATAATATAAATGAAAGTAAACCCGCTGGGTTCCTGTGTGTCTCTCTCATCTGCTTCCATTTGAACATTCTTCTGATGACATAAATAGCCCACAGGCCCTCAATCCTTCCAAATGTGGTTCAATTCCAGTTTTTTCTATTGCCATTTCAAGGAATCTCCATTCAACCCTATAAAATGCTTTAATGATGCTAAAACACAAAGGGTGAAATCCTGGCTCCACTGAAGTTAATGGGAGTTTAAAAGCACGTCTAACATATATCTCACAAAGCCTATGGAAGTAAATGGAAAGACTTGGTGTATTTTTTTTAATAATCAAGAAAAAATAGCAGTACCTTAACCAGCCATTTATCCTTGTGGTTTAAAAACATTATACGTCTATAGGCATCACATCATGAAAGATTTTCCCCATGTTTGAGGATGACCAGCATAATAGAGTCTGGAGCTGTCCATTAACTGCTCGTATCAAAGGAACAGGTCCTGTTTGATTTAAGTACCAGTCGTGTCAATTGATGGAGCCAGGAATCTCTTTTTAAAGATTTTGTAAGACTCAGCAGGACAACTGTCTGGCATCCTTCATGTTATTCATCTTCAAACTTATCTCTTCAGACAAAGTTGTCTGAATCTTGGTTATAACCGAACATTATGGGTCAGTGCTACAGCTGGTGTGAATCAACATAGCTGCATTGGAGACAATGGAGCCAATTTACAGCAGACGAGCCTCAGGCCCTATTGTTGTAAATAGGGCTTTTGTAATATAATCACAGGAGGTAGTATTTCTTCAGACAGGTTATTAGAGAGGTATAGCTCCTTATAATTTGCAGAGGCTTCACTGATTTTGTTTGTTTGAGTTACAGTATCCCCTACCTGGAGAGATGTTTCTTTGCACCCAATGAGCTTTTCTTTTATGTCCTAATAATCTATTGCTTTTATTCCCCTTTTCGTAACAAAATTGTTTGATATGTCTAAAGTATTTTTTTTTTTAATTAGGAGTGTATTCAGTTTGCCTTTAGCTTTAATTAACTGATTATACACTCTCTGGACCATTTACGTTTATGCAGGTGATCTAATTTTTTAATCTCTTCCTGCACTGCTTCCTTGGTTAGTTATACATTGTGTAATTGTGCATTTTTCTATCTAAGGCATGGATTTTAATTCCAGTTTAAAGTTTTCATTTGACATCTCTCTCCCTGGGAAGAAAACGTCAAGAAAATCTCACAGTGCTCGTAAGGTAAAAATTGTTAGTGAACCTTGAATGGGTTTTACATGGCAAGATCTGAAATCATATTTTTCCAGGGATTGATAGAACTTAGATTCTGGGTTTTTTGGGTGAGATGTCTTGCATCCTTTTTACTCACACCCTGATTGACTTCAGTGGGACTATTCATACTTAAAAGTTAAGTACATGCCAAAGAGTTTTCCTGGATTGGGGCCAAAATCACTTTTCTTTATCGATTTCCTGTTTTAGGCCTGGTATAACAATGACATCAATTAAGGAAATAATCCTTCCTTCAGGAATCTTCAATGCTTTGAAGACTAGAAACAAAATTCTAACCCCTCCCCCTCCCTGTTTTAAGAGTTGGAAAAACTAGCGTAATTTGGATCTTTCTTTTTAATTCTGCAATCGGTTTTATCTAAGAAGGATGCATAAAGCACACTTGTCAAGGATTTGGGTTTTTAAATAATTTAACATTTGTAAGTTTGAAGCCTGTTGCTTGTGTCCTTATCAGAAAGCCAATATTATAAAAGAGAGAGGGAGGGAAATAAACGAATGGAGTTTCTTGTTTTGCTTAATAGCAGAAATAATATTGAAATAAATAAGTTAGGTATTTATTACAAGTATACAACATACTGTTGCAATTCTTATTTTATTTGGCACTTGTAATTCTAACTACTATGTAATTATTACTTTAATATGTAGTCTATTTATGTAGCTAGAAATTTATCTGAATTTTCATATACATTACAACTTATAGTTATCTATGGCCTTTGCACATATATGTTACCTAATAAATGTTGTACAATTGTATTACAATATCCTGATCATTTACCTGTATTTATCTAAATTACTCATGAAATAGGAAATTCAAGATTAGTCTCCACTCAGGCCCCAATTCAGCAAAGCGCTTAAGCATGTGTCCAAGTCCCTTTAAAGTTAAGCACAATCAGGCCACCACTGTGACTCTGAAATTCTCTCATAATGCCCTGACATATTTATTTGTAGACTATGAAATTGAGCATTATTATTTGTATTATCATACAACCTAGGAGGCCCAGTCATGGGCCAGGAACTTCTTGTGCTCACCACTGTACAGACACAGAACAAAAAAGACAACCCCATTCCCAAAAAGCATGTAACCGATATTTTTAGACAGTAACCTAGCCAAGGAATTTCTGGGAGAAAGTTTGTCAGGACCTTATGCAGTATGCCATTTTTAATTTTAGCTCTCGTATACTGCAAGGAAGTTCCGCGGTTCAGCATATCTTATCCAGGACACCTTCCCCAGATGGTTCTTGTGTTTATTTCAGAAACTGAGCTGATTGATATTGGCTCAAGCATATCCATCTCTTGAGTTCTCTCTAATACGTACCATTTCCATTCTAGATTGAAGTAATGCATGACTATCAAGAAAAAAGGAATTCCTTGCAGTCTTTTATTTCAGAAAGTGAAGACAACTTAGATATACTAAAAGGGTATGTTTTGTTTCATATATTATCCTAGTAGAACCTCATGTAGAATATCATGTGTTCAGAAGATCTGCTTAATGCAAAAGCAGAACCTCTGTTGGAAGCATCACAAAAGGAAGAAGACTATTGTAATTATTAGTTGACTCTTATCCTCAAAATGCACTCTCTATCAATGGAAAAGGAATGTTCAGTGCAACAATTCTCTTGGCTGGTGTGTAAAAATCAAAACTCATCAATAAAGTTCCTGTGCCAATGTAGCTTAAATAAATATGTGAAAACAGTGATTAAGAGGGGACTTGCGGAGCTCTTTGTAAAAGATTATTTCATGGCAAGGGAGAGCAAAGGGAAGGTCTGTGAATAGAACACAAGTGCAGGTTTTCACATCTGAGTAAAACACTTGAACAAATGTCCTGAAATAGAAGCACGGTACTCTTAACAATTTCATCTTTCTGTTAGATCCACCATCAAAGCTAAAACTCCACAGTTTGGCTTTGTTGTAGGGGTCTGACCTAGAATGAGACAGACAAGCAGTCTCAAGTTTGCTGCTGTACGAACAATGAACCTCCACTAATATGACATGTCTGTCCATTCAAGCAGCTGAGCTGAGACGGCCCAGGAATGCTGAGGACATTGTTAAATTTCTCTCTTCCCTGTATGATCTGGTGCATGTTCGGGATGGGGGCTGGGCCAAGGCTGGAACATGTTTTTATTCTTTCTTTGTCTTTCCACACCTCAGGTGTACAGTGTGTCCACCAGTTTTCACCATTTATTTTGGTCGCTTGCTGGTTTGTTCAGGCTTCTGTGTGTCTTGTTCATAGAGTTGGCTTCTAATTTTTTTTATTGCCCATGTGAAAATGATTAGGGCAAGTCAGTTTATATATACTACTTAAGTGTGCATCACGTTGACAGACTCCTGAGGCTAGTAGCACAACTGGAAGAGTCCTAGGGAATAGGCAAGAGTTTAAAGTTACTAAAATATACCTAGCTGTTCTTTGGATGTGAGCACAGCCTTAGTGCTTTTAAAGAATTTGAAGGAGCTGCTGACTTGGAAAAGTGCTGTCCTTTCACTGCATGTCCAAAGCATATTTGAGGCTGACAACATCCATCCCGTTGAATGAGTCTAGAGAAGACATACATAGATTAGCAGTCACTGTAGCACCTTCCAAGGGTCAACCTCAGAGCTAGTCTTCACTACCACACACCACTGTAGCTTGTCTGGTGAAGACGCGCTATGCCAACGGGAGAGCGCTCTCCCATCAGCATAATTACTCCACCTCAGTGAGAGGCGGAAGTTATGTCAGCAGGAGAGTGTCTCCTGTTGACTTAGCGTTGGCATGGACGATGCGTAGGTCGATGTAACTTGCATCACTCAGGGAGGTGGCTTTTTCACACTTCTGAGCAACGTAAGTTACATCGATTTAAGCGGTAGCGTAGACAAGCCCTCCGTGTTGTCTTCTGTAAACCCTTGCTATTCACCATGTTCTGAATGCAGTCTTTTGAGAATGCACTACGTTTGCCTCACTTTGAGAAAGATCCTTTTTGGCCAAGATTTTGTTGGTGCTCAGAAGAACTGGGAACATGCAGCATTTAGGGAAACATGGGGAGAGAGCCTAAGAAGTTCAAAATCCTTTTTCAAGGCTAAAACGCAGTGCTATTTTTTTAAGCTTAAATGAACCATGTTTCATAGACTCATAGACGTTAAGGTCAGAAGGGACCATTATGATCATCTAGTCTGACCTCCTGCACAACACAGGCCACAGAATCTCACCCACCCACTCCTGTAACAAACCCCTAACCTATGTCTGAGTTATTGAAGTCCTCAAATTGTGGTTTAAAGACCTCAAGGTGCAGAGAATCCTCCAGCAAGTGACCCATGCCCCACGCTGCAGAGGAAGGCGAAAACCCCCCAGGGCCTCTGCCAATCTGCCCTGGAGGAAAATTCCTTCCCGACCCCAAATATGGCGATCAGCTCAACCCTGAGCATGTGGGCAAGACTCACCAGCCAGCACCCAGGAAAGAATTCTCTGTAGTAATTCAAATCCCACCCCATCTAACATCCCATCCCATCCCCATGTCTGAATTTTAACATAGTAATTCCCCTCAAAACACAGTTCAGAAAATGATCCTTTAGTGAAATTTGTTAAGAACAGCCAATTTTTTGATGTGTAGTGAGGAGAAAGTGGAGTTCTTAAGTAGTAATCTGTTTGGGTGTTATACTTTATTGATAGAAAATGGACACATTAAAATTAATGGTTTGTTACACAACCAAGTTGGTCTTTACAATAAAATACAGGCATGCAGGCGGTTAAATGGTCACTCGGAATTCACCAAGTATAAATAAAATGCACATAAAGAGCAAAGGGCCCAAACAAAACCCTTAATTCCACATTTAAGGTGCATATGGCCCTCTGATCTGAGATGGATTTAATCTGTTACTCATTACCTGTCCTACTGCATCTGTACTCATTCTGCCCCTAATTGTTAGAGTGTGGCTAATTTCAGGCATATTTACCGTGAAATTGAAATGCAATGGCTCAACCCTGCAAACATAGATGGAGCATTTCTGATTGTTTTTTTTATTTCAGCCATGTCATAAATGAGCTAATAGAAACAGAGAGAGTGTACGTAGAGGAACTGTTCACTGTTTTGATGGTGAGTTACTTAAAAATTCCTCGTGACTGCTCTCTGATGTGTTTTCTGAAAGGCATCTGGCCAATTAAACAAAAATGTGATTTGGTCAATTTCTACTTTGCTGTCATATCCGGGGTGATCTTGAATTTTTCTCCCATCATTTTGATTCAGATGACATGTGCACAGTATGTGTCAGTACAAGCTTTTAATCTATAATTTGGGTGAAGCCTTCTGTTCACAAACGTATGTCTTGGTAACTAATTTTATCAATGGTTGGAGAGGAAATATACAGAATAAGCTGCAATTTGATCATATGCACAAATACATGAATGTATATGTATGTGTATATAATATAATATACCGGCTTGATAGATTGAAATCCCCTCTCTCCCCTCCCAGCCCCAAGCTTTTCTGAAAACATCCATTTCTTCCCGAGACATGGCATTTTATATAGCTAGGCCCGGTAATGGTGATTAAAACTGAAATGATTGATTTCCATTAAGCTGACTCAAGATTTATGTTCCTGCTGCATCTTAAAGTCAGTAGTAAATTCATATTTAATGTAAGATATGCCAGCATTGCTAATAAGCAGTTGTGCAAAAGACACACATTTCAAAGCTGATGTAGGTGAAGTTATATATTACTGAATTCATTATTCCGAACTGGGTGACTAGATCCATTATATGGGCCACATTTTGTCATCAGTTGCGTGTAGCATGCATTGAATTCTGTGGAAGCCACATGTGTCCGCACCCGTAGTTAGAAGCAGTCCCTGAGACTGGCTACTTGTTATAAATCAAGCTTAGAGACAATAACAGGGACAGTCCAAAGCTCTGCCCAGTCCCTGTTCATTTTCCCTGAGCCGTTTATTCTTTTGTGTTAGTTCTCCTTGAAGTTATTGTCTCTTTCCAGGGATGACACAATTGGTAAATATTTTTTGCAACGGTGTTCTAATGTGACCTTAATGTAGAGTGCTGTACTTTAATTTACAAATAAAATATAACTATTTACAGTACAATAATATCCCTTATGCCACTGCCAGGTTACTTAGCGCCGATTCCCTTTTGGAAAATGCAGTTGATGTCAAGGGGCAGATGCTGTAGCAGAGGGGGGAAAAAAACCTTAGGCAGCAGGAATCAAGGAGAAAGGGATCTGGTGTTCCGAGAGTGTATTGTTGAACAGCAAAAAAGCCCATTGATGTTGTTATTTGATATCTATCAGTCTTCTGCTTTGTTACAAATTTCCCACCGCATCAGACCTTGAGAGAATATCTCTAATTGTTTTCCATTTAACAAGTTGTCAGCGGTGTGTCTTGCAGTCATAACAGCAGATGTGTAACCAAGACAAATATTCCTCCAGGACCTCTCCCTCCGTTGTGCGGTAGAGAGATGCCAATGGCAGTTTGTCTTATCAAAATACAGCATGTCTCCGAAGTAAATGGTGTTTTAATGGGCGTGTCTGTGTGTACTTTCCTTATCCCATTGTAGATCTAAAAGTTTCAGAAATCAACTGTTACATAATGTGTAAACACAGACCAAAGCCATGCATGTGTATATGTAGATGAGAGGGCAACCTGGATCCCTAACAGTAGAGCAATTTTCTTCCATGTGAGAGCTCTGAATTCTGTTCCCAGACTTGGTTCTGGTCTCCTTTCACTAGGAGGGTGGTGAAGCACTGGAATGCGTTACCTAGGGAGGTGGTGGAGTCTCCTTCCTTGGAGGTTTTTAAGGCCCGGCTTGACAAAGCCCTGGCTGGGATGATTTAGTTGGGAATTGGTCCTGCTTTGAGCAGGGGGTTGGACTAGATGACCTCCTGAGGTCCCTTCCAACCCTGATATTCTATGATTCCTTGCCCTGTCACATACAGGGAATGATGCTGAGCAGAAGCATCATATTCAACCCCTAGGTGCAGGAACATCTCATGTTGCTCTGCAGCTACTTCCTCGTGCTGTCTGATGAAATGTGAAGCCCTCCCCATCAGACAAATGTCACTAATACTCAACCTCTGAGGGCGAGGGAAATTCAAAGAAAAAAATCGGGGAAATCGAGAAGATGTGGGGACTAAAAAAAGAAATAAAAGGAAAGTAGCATTTTGTAACAACGTACATTTTATTGAACCGATAGTCATGTATCTTTCCATCTAGTCTTTAATGTGGCAATAAACCAGGCTTATACAGGCCTAATCATGAATACCTGCTGTGTTCTACAGGGCTACAGGGCTGAAATGGATAATCCAGCGATGGTCATTCTCATGCCGCCTGCCCTGAGAAACAGAGAGGATGTTCTCTTTGGGAATATGCCAGAGATATATGACTTCCATAACAAGTAGGTAACTAGCTGTATATTCCCTTTCTTTATGAGTTCCCCTTACAAACAGACTGCTCAGATGCTGTTGCATTCACAGTCACATTGTATTTCTCCCTTAACCTCTTTCAGAATTTTCCTACACAATCTGGAAAGCTGTGTTGGAGCACCAGAGCGAGTGGGGCTTTGTTTCCTGGAAAGGGTTAGTGAATCAATTGTTGTATTTAGAACAGACTTCGTAAGCCGCATTTTCCCCCTGATACTGAGCATTCCTCAGCTTGATGCTTCCTATATAAAATAACAACCGCTGGACACTGTATTTATGGGAGAGAGACAAGGTAGGTGAAGTAATATCTTTTACTTGGCCAACGTGTGTTGGTGGAAGGTACAAACTTTTGAGCTACACAGAGCTCTTCAGGTCTGGGGGACCAAGCAGAGCATCTGAGCTAACAATGTATTGTGCTCACATGTCCAGCAACATCTGGGGGAAAGCAGCAGGCTTGGCAATAGGCCTATCTACTGTGTAAGAATCTCCTAATTTTAGGGAGTGACTCTTATTTCCCATCTATCTGGTTGGTTTTTTTTAAATATGAATTCTTCCAATTTGCAAGTGAAATAGAAGCTAAGACGGGCATTTGGTGCTCACCTTATTCTGCCTTACAGCTGTCATAAGTAAGACGTTCTAGAGTGCATATATTTTAAAATTGATTTATTTATTCTTCTTGCAGCGAGAAGATTTTCAGATGTATGAGAAATATTGTCAGAACAAACCTCGGTCAGAATCTCTGTGGAGGCAGTGTTCAGAAAGCACCTTCTTTCAGGTATGCTAATTATTCATGTGCAAAGCATACTTCAGCGTACGTGAATTATTTTTGCAAAATGCAGCATTCATGTCCTTAGCATTGCAACCTTATTCCCCATTCTATACATGTGGGAAATCCCCCATTAATATCAACCACAGTTACTTGAACATATGGCGTGTAGAATAGTAAATTATTGTGCATCCTATTCATAGATTTCAAGGCTGGATAGAACCATTGTGATCATATGGTCTGAACTCCTGTGTAACACATGCCAGAGAACTTCACTACAATAATTCCTGTTTGAACTAGAGCCTATCTTTAAAAAATCCAATTTTGATTGAAAACTTGCCAATGATGGAGAATCCTGCACAATCCTTGGTAACTTGTCCCAGTGGTTGATTCCCCTCACTATTAAAAAATTGTGCCTTATTTCCCATCCAAATTTGGCTGGTTTCAACTTTCAACCGTTGGATCTTGTTATACATTTGTCTGCATGTTTACTTTATACTATTTCTTTGTTACAGGAATGCCAAAGAAAATTAGAACACAGACTTGGGCTGGATTCCTATTTGCTCAAACCAGTACAACGTTTGACAAAATACCAGTTGCTTTTGAAGGTATTCATATGTCTTTTTTTAAAGCATAAGGAACTGAGGGGAGGTCTAGACTAATGGATATTCACTAGCCATCTCCAGGAATGCTTAGGCCTTAAATCTGGGACATTGGTGGTGGCTGTTGGAGAGTTTTAAATTCTCTTTGATGTCTGGTGTACACTGAGGGCAACACTCAAAGCACTGTACTACTGAAGCCTGAGAATGTCTTGTTATTACTGCACCTCTTAGCAGCTTCCCCAGGAACAGAATTGCAGACTTGTTTGCTGTTCTCTTCACTTACGTGGCTGGTGACTTACTGGATCATTCTTAAAATTGCAGCAGTCCTTAAGCCCTTATGCAGAGCACTGTTGTGATGTCTGAAGAAGGCCTGACCATTTGAATAAAGGGGGAGGAGTTGCTTAGGTTTTTTTAACCTTAGAAATATCAGGAATATCAAGTCTTACCTTCCTTATTTTTGTTGGATGACCTAGAAGTGTAGCCTGGAATCTTTTTCAGCCCTGAGTTGAACAGACATAAATTCAGAATATTTAATAAAGCGAGCTTTTTGGCCAAGTGTTCTTTACTAAATAATGTTAAAACTGACTCCTCCTTTTAATGAATCAGGTTTCGCTTCCTTGGTATCTTAGTTCTTCAGCTTTCCAAGGTAGACAAGACCTGACTTTCTAAATCAGAAACAAGGAAAAAAACCCCAAATACCTGTATTTATTTTACTGTCAGGAATGCTTTACACAGCGTGAACAAAGCCACCCATCCAATATCTCCCTCTCCCTCTGCCCATCCCCTTGACCTTTACCTTTAAACCTGTGATAGGCTCATCTGAATACGGCTTAGCCTTGGCTTCAAAACTGAGAAATTCTATGAGGAGAGAAAATTCCATATTGAAGGAGGAAACAAGTATTTGTAACAAGTTATTTTTAGGAGGGAAAAGGTTGTTTGAATCTGCTCAGTGATATGGAATGAAAGAATCCTGCAGGAAATGGAACTATGAGTAGATACGATGGTCAAAGAAGCATGATAAATGCAATTTACCATATTGGCATGTCTACTTTTTCTTAGGTATTTCTATGGCAGCCATCACCATCCTAGCTGAGTGCCTCACAGACTTTAGAGTATTTGTTCTTGCAACACTCCTGTGACATAGGGAAAGGCCGTGGTCCCTATTTTACAGAGGGGGAACCGAGGCACAGAGACACTAAGTGACTTGTCCATGGTCACACGGGAAGTCTATGGAAGAGCAGGCAAATGAACCCAAGTCTCCCAAGGGCCAAGCTAGCACCCTAACCACTGGACTATCCTTCCTCTCAGGTGGGGGGATGTACATACAAAGTTATAACTGAGAGAGAGAAAGAGATCGGCTATATAATGTAACTTTGTATGTGTCTATATTATGGATAATACAATTTCTAAACACTGACACCTTGGTTACTCACTTACTGCCTCTGTCCATTGTTAAAGGTTTTCATCTATAGTTATCTGGGGTCTCCCACTGTTAGGATAGTCTTCTGTTTGGTATCTTATTTTAGCCGCTGTTCTATGACTCTCTTTTCCTAGAATATTATTCTCTGATGTATGAAACCTATTGTCTCGGTTGCATGTCCTTTATTTATCACAGCAGCAATATCTTCAAAGAACTCTGGGAGGTTAGTTGAATATGACCTCCCCTGAACCAACACTGACTGTCTTTAATGAAGCCCAGAAAAATGCTGTGTGTGAATGTGGTGCTTATGTGACACCTTTTCCTTACAACAGTGAATGTATTTTAAATGTTCCATTTCCCCCAAGATACAAAATAAAGGATACACTGGCTTCTGAATTATTGCAATTTCATGGGCAATGTAGAAAATGTGTTAGATTCAAGTAAAACCACATAGCCTTTGATTTCTAATTACAGGAGTTGCTAAAATACAGCACAAGCTGTGATGGAGTTAAAGAGTTGCAAGACGCTCTGGTTGCAATGTTGGATTTACTAAAATCAGTCAATGACTCTATGCATCAAATTTCAATAACAGGATATGATGTAAGTACATCTGGGTAATGAAAAACCTTTTACTCCAAAGTTCTGGGCATCTCAGTGGGAATGTCCAAAGAGACAGGGAATGAATAAGAATCAGGGGGTAGCCGTGTTAGTCTGTATCTACAAAAACAACAAGGTTTTTAAGGTGCCACCAAACTCCTTGTTGTTTTAGGGAATGAATAGAATCTAAAGTGAATAAATATGATGTTAAAAAGTATAGTAGACAAGACAGTTACAAAATGAATAGGATGGGAAAACTCTTCCGGGTGTCGATCTTTCCTCTAATTGCATTAGTTGGGTAAACACTTCCTTTTTTTGTTTACATGCAAAGGGCAAGTTGCAGGTGCAGTCCCAGAGCAAAGCCACTTTGTGGCACAATCTCCGTTTCCCTCCTGGTTCACCCAATAACTCACCCACTGTCAGGGCTTTTTCATAGAATTTCCCTCTTGGGGTCTAATTTATTAAATCCTCCTGAAACACCGCTCAAACCCTTGTCCTTCCTGAGGCTTCAGTTCATGGTTTCTTGTTCCCTCTAAGCAGGGAAGCTCTGCTGGTCCCACTCCAGACCCTGGCTTCTCCAGAAAGTCCTTCCCCTTGGGTATTTCCTAGGTTCAAATTACTCCCCCCGTGAACTTGGAACAGGGTATTCACTGCCCTCTCTCCTTGGCTGTGTATCACTCCTGATAAGTTTCCACAGCTTCCCAGTTCTTCCCCCAGTGGACCTCTTCCCCTTGGAACAGGGCAACTACAGCCCTCCTTCCTTGGTCTGTGCGTCACTTCTGGCAATTGGCCCCCATTTCCAGCTTGGTCTGCTGATCCTTCTAGGGAGACCTATTCTTAGAGCAACCAGGCCTTGGGACAGGGTTGGCTGGCCCTGGGCCCCACCTGCCCTTAAAGGGGACAGACCACCCTGTTACAGGGCATGTTTTAAATTTTTAACTGGTGATTATTTATTTGCTGTGTTATTACCAGGGGGACTTGAGTGAACTTGGAAAAGTATTGATGCAAGGATCGTTCAGTGTTTGGGCAGGACACCGGAAAGGCCCTACAAAAATGAAGGATCTTGCCAGGTTCAAACCAATGCAGAGGCACCTCTTCCTGTATGACAAAGCCCTGGTGTTTTGTAAGAAGAGAGAGGAGCATGGAGATGGATATGATAAAACCTCTTCATACAGTTTTAAGCATTTTTTGAAAGTAAGGAAAACCTAGTAACGACGGGAAATTGCATTTATGTAATAAACAGGCAGCTTTCAGAATTGGGAAAGTATTATTTATCTAGACAATAGTTCTCAGCTATTAACAGTCACGATGTGCATACCATTACTGCCAGCCTAATGAAAGAATCTTTTCTGATTTTAAAAAGCCACAACGTCCCTTGTTCTCCAAGCACACAATGGGCAACACCCCAAATTAGAATCACAGACACATCTTTCATTTCAAAGATCAGATGACACATGTCAGTGAAATTATGTCCTGGGCAAGCCATGCATGAGGGACAGGGATGTGCTTTTGGGAAACACGAGTCTGCTCCTTCCCTTAAGGATCAGGGAAATTGTAGTCCAGCCATGTGATCCTGCTGAATTAAAGCTCGGTCTGAAAGCCAACAGGGATAATGAGGCATCATCCCAAGCTTCTCAATCACTGCCAAGGCTTTGAGGCCTCCTGGTAAGACCAGTCCCTGCTGAGGCAAGAAGACAGCAAGGCCAGGCCGTCTCTGGAATCCGTTCTTAGGCCAGAGCAAGGCACCCTGCTCTTGCACCCTCTGATTCCTGGAAATGTCTGAGCAACGGCTGCTAATCACCTGACTTCCCAGTTGTCTGTGTAGTTGGGTCGGTAAGTAGATGACCCCTCTTCCTCTCTCGCTACCCTCCCTCCTTTGGCAAGGATTAGTTGCTACTAAAAAGGTAAGTTTCAATAAGAAATAGCATAGAACAGAACTCAAGGGGTGTAAACAGCTATCCCAAGGCACCTACAGACCCTGCTGTCAGCAAAGGTCAGAGAAACCCCAATCTATCATTCTCCTGTTTCCTGCCTTTCTTAGGGCCCATTGTGCTCCAGCTTCCACGATGCCCACAAGTGCTAACCATTATCAGTGAAAATGCTATTGCTGTCCCATTATACTGAAAAGCACCCACCCCATTAAGATGGACCCTTTCCATGGGCCTCCCAGTGCATTCCATGTGGTAAGCTCCTCCAGGCAGGGGCCATGTTCTCCTCTGGGCCAACACAGTGCCCAGCCTCTAGTGACTAATAATAATAATAATGTGTGTGTGTTTTAGAGCCGAACAAATCTGTATTTAGAGGATGAGCCTCCATGTCAGGAACTCCCACTGACATGGATGGGCTTGGAGAGTTAGGCCCTCACTCTATTCAGAATCTCTTTAAATATGTTATGCTCTCTCAAATCTGTTCAGCTCATCGGCACATTAGCAAGTGCAATGGGAGACCAATAAATACCGGGCCATTTATTTCAATATTTGTTTGTTTTTCCAAACATCATCTTTTTGTTTCTTGAGAGCTTCTCTTTCCTTGTAGGAAAAGTTCCTAAGTGCTTTGATAGATTCCAGAGTGGCTGCATGGGGAATCGTTGTTCAGAAGAGAAAATCCAGGGTTCAGCCAGTCTTAACATTTGTCTGGGTCTGCTTCACTTTCCAGCTGTTGTCTTGCAGAGCTGAGTGATCTGTGATAAAAGAATTATTTTCTTTTCCGTATTGGTGGCATGAGGGGCAGAAATGTGTTTCTGAAGCCCTGGATTTGTTTGATTAGTGATAGTATTGAATCATTTTTTTGCTCAGGAAGAATGTTTTTCAGAGATGTCTAGTTTAGGAAATCTATTTAGTGGAAGCTGTGGAACTGAGAGATCTATCAGAATAACTTCATTTGAGAGCTGTATATCTGTAAGACTTGGGATAATATTTTAAGTACTTTTCTGAGAAGAGTTGGTTTAAGACTATTACAGTAACTTACTCCTGGCTACTTTATTCCTGATTCCAGTAGTATATAATCTTCTAGACCATCACTTGTGGCATCTGAATGATATTTGGGTAAGACTGAGAACATTCGTTTAAAAAAAAAAAAAGAGAGAAAATTTAAAAAAACAACCTTGCAAATCCCTATGCCAAAATACGCACAAATAATAGAAATTGAATCATTTGGGGAAAAAATTTCTCAGCTCTTGTAGTATTTAATTATAAAAAAAATGGAGCTAGATCTGGCTTTTTGCAGCATTCGGGCACTGTATGGGTTTCTATTTATCTCGGTGTGTACTGAGAGTACTAACTCCTGTGCAGCAGGTTTTAGTGAGCACGGTTCTTGAACACGGGTATTTTTATATACACACAGTTGTAGGGGAGCAAATGGAGGCTGGGTTGAGGCACCTTTGAAAACTTGACCCTGTTCTTCAGTGCAGGCATGCAGAATTTTGTAAAACATCAATTTGCAGGTCCAGTTTGGCACCGAGCCAGTGGAATATGACCCAGAAAAGAGACATTAGATAAGACGTGTTCACTGATATTCCTTTTCTGCATCCAGGGGTAAATGCTTTCTCTGAAGTTTGCAGCGAACTCTGGGTATTTATACCCAAAAGTGTTTGGAAATTGCCTGCAGAAACGAAGGAAGCTAATTAGCAACTTCCTATTTCCTCGAGGACATCTTTCATAGTTACGGATAATGGTGCCAACATTTTAAAAACAGATAGGAACAGAAGGTTTACCCAGGTGGCCTAATTTGTATGTTGTCCCTTTCATTCAGACAGAAAGCTGTGTGTGTGTGACGTATGCAACAAAATACATCATTACTAGAGCTGGTTTGAAACACTACATTGCAATGTTTGCCCTTTTTTGACCATCTAATTATTAGGTGTCAATTCCTAGCACCTTGTGCTGTAAAAGCGATCAAGAAGCATGTTAATACACTTGAGAGGAATAAGCCTGGTATTAAAATATTGCTTAGTATCCGTTGCTGGTGAGGCAGGAATCTAGTGGTATGTTTACGAGGTAGGGCAAACGCTTCCTTGGCGGCTAGACCTCTCTCGGGTTTTAATCCTAGTTGAGTCACTGGCTCTGTTTGTCTTTGTACAAGCCACATGATCTCTTTGTGCCTTGGTCACCTCCAGCCAAATTACCAAAAGTGGTTTTGGTTTTGGGTGCCCGGCTTTCGGCCTGATTTTCAGAGTTGCTGAGCTCTCCCGGCTGGAGAATTTGGAGCCTGCTGCCCAAGGTAGCTCAAGATGTACATCTCTCCCCCTCTTCCCCCCCCAGAAATGTTGACCTTTCATGGTAGACCTGGGTGAAAAGCAGAACTGCGCTGAAACTTGGATGCTGTGTCTGAAATGAGGAGAGGGTTGGGGTTATTTTTTAAAGCTTCTCCTCAGTGGGAAGTTGATGCACAAACTGTGGCAAAGGCCTGAGACTCAGGCCTATGATCCCTCTTCTAAATCACTCCCACTGATCCATGAATGTTATGGAAAGTCCCCAGAGGGGCACTGGTAGCTCCAAGAAACCTTCTATAGATGTTACAAACAGTCAAAGCAAAACGCTCAGTTTGAACAACTGTAGATAACCACTTTCAGTCACTACTGAAAATAAACATTTTTGGTGAACTTTGTTAATTTGGGGCGGGGTGGAGGAACTAGGGGACTGTTTAAGATGAACACAATGTGTGAATTCATGGTAAAGGTCTGAAAGACATTTGGTTTTCAGATTAGACTAAAAGGACATGATTCTTTTAAAACAGATGAATGCAGTTGGAATCACTGAAAATGTGAAGGGGGATCATCGAAAATTTGAGATCTGGTACAGCGGACGAGAAGAGGTGTACGTTGTTCAGGTGTGTGATTTTTAAAATGCCATGTTTGATTTTTATATCCTCATAGTGCTGTTTAAAATGGTGGATATTCAGCTAAGAATTGCCTGTCTCTTTGTGAACTGGTAACTCTGGCTGGCAAATATGTGTGGACCGTTTCTGTTCAGCTCCCTCGCTGCTCTATTAGACTGATAATGGTCCAGTAGATTAATAGAATAGGTTCTTATGCTGCCTTTGTTTAGTGGCATCTGCAGTGGGCCATGCTTAAGATTAAGAACATAAACTGCATAGTATAATGTTAAGAAAATCCCCCTGTGCTAAAGGAATATTGTGGAAACTGTAACTTAAATCAATAAACATTGATACTAGTGTTGGTCTTGAACCGGCTTGCAGCCCTCGTTCCCAAGCTCCTTCGCATCTTGCCAGACAGGCTGCCTTGGAGCTAAGGTTCCCAGGGAGTGTGTTTCCCAGCCACCTTTAATCGATACCCCTTCCAAAACACACGGTCGCACTGAAATGTCACTGCAGGATGTGACACATCTTTCTTCCAAACTTTTGATCTGTATTTTAAGAGAATTTTATTAACTTTCTGGGTGAAATCCTGGCTCCATTGAAGTCAATGGCAAAACTCCCAATGATTTCATAGGATTTCAACCTATATTTCCGGCTGTATATCTCTGGGTGTGTAGGTCGAGTAGTGGAGACAACATATGCAGGTTGTTGTGTCTGATCACAGGCAGCAAATCCATAATTATTAAGGTACTCTAAGAAGAGGACTGGATTGCTAACTGGAAACAGAGCCTTTCGTTCCTGTTCAAATCCAGCGTTGGACATTAGTTAATCTATTCAGTGGCTTTTATGAACGAGGTCATGGAACGGCTACATTATTTAATAAATGCGTGAGAAATGCACCATTGCTGTTAGGTAACAGAACTGCTTTCCATGTTAGGTGTTAGGCTGTGGCGTTGATTGCACCAGAAATTGCTATTTTCAGAAGCTCATCTATAAAACAAGCGCTCTTGGCCTGACCGCATCTCTTCCTAGATATTTTGGGTTTTTTTCTGGCCATTTTTTAAACAAAAATGTTGAAAGAAAATGTTTGGTTGGCTTTATATTTACTTGAAAATCCAGTTGTAAAAACACTGAAGCTTGGTATTTTGAATGTGTATGGTGTTGCCTTAGAATTCTGAACCAGCTCCATTTTTCACATTGAAATGTGGGAGCTGATTATTCATAAGCAGGCTTTGCCTTTGGGTGTTTTAGAAAAAGAGTCAATGGGACATGCCCATGTACTTTTGACTGCACCCCTTGTGTTGTGATGAGCTCTACATGATTTCCATTTACAGTACAACCTTTGCTATCTGAATGTGATGGAGAACTTTAAATAATTTTGGAGAGTCAGGAACATTTTCAATATAATTAATAGTCATCAGAGGCTATAACCTTGCTCTGGATAATAGGGATTTTTGGATAATTACAGTTTAGATAACTGAGGCTCAACTCAATTTTATAACGGGGGATTCATAAAAGCCACCGAATTTCAAATCATTCTCCTCTTTCAGGCCCCAACAGTAGATGTGAAGATGGCGTGGTTAAGTGAAATGAGAAAAATTTTGTTCAAGCAGCAGGAGCTTATAAAAGGTACATTTGAACCATTTCCTGATGGTGTTCACTACAGCAGAACCTTTCTGATGCTCACATTGCAAATCTGCAAACCCAATCATTCTCACCAGAGAAATAGCAGCTTCACTCCACTTTTCACAAAAGATCAAATAGCTGACGTCTCCTATTACTGATACTTCATTACTTTTAAGAAAAATATTATAGTGCATATAGGAGCATAACAGGCAGTATTATTATAAGTAAAGGCAAATTACCCTTGTCGAAAATAAATCAGCATTATCCTTTTTTGATGTCAGCATCTTGATATTTTTAAATTTCGTATTTGTTCTCTTAGGCCCTTATTCAGCAAGGTACGTCAGCACCTGCCTTATTTTAGGTACATGAGTAATCCCTTGACTTTAATGGACTTACTTGCACGCTTACAGTTGGGATGCCTACTAACAGACCATGCTGAATCAAAGACTAACTCCCCAATTTGCAAAAGTTGGTGATCCAACTAATCTGCAGTTATCAGTGCAAATTAATGAGGTTCTACTTTGCCTTAAAAAAACACAGAGCACTGATTTGTGCAAAAAATCTGATGTTTGAAGTAACACTTTGTCTGTTTGGAGTGGGTGATGGCTCTGAGTGATTTAACAAACCCCACGTTAAACTAACACAATATTTGCGACCTACTCATAGTTGAGAAGAAACCATCCGGTGTGTTTACAGACCAGATCCAACTTTCCCCGCAGCTGAGTGATGGGTAAGTCAGATGAGCTCGGCAGATTTGAAAAACAAAAATAATGATCTATGTTCACTATTTAACATACATCTGCAAATCCAGAGCCTTTCGGGCACTCTCTGGGTGAGCTCTGCGCCCCCACTCTGGTCCCCTTATGCCATGCAGAAGGGCTGGAAAAGTGGAGAGGGGCCCTAAGAGCCCCATATCCAGCCGGAGAGGATTCCATTGGTGCAGCACTGTGGAAAAGAGCCGTAAGGCTGCCTCTGGAGGGAGCTCCTTGCATGCCCTGGCATAGGAACACAGCTGGCGGCAGGAGGGGCATGTTGGGGATGAAGCTACAGCATGCAGTGCTGCGGTGGTGCTGGGCAGTGCTGAAGAAGCTACCATAGCTTAGAAAGGACCCAGAGTGGCTTAAAGCCAACCCCCTCCCCTGAGCTGTGAATTCTGTGCTGTACTTCTTAGAGGCTCAGCATAGAATCTCACCCTCTGTTTAAAACCTCCACAGGAAGTCCATATTGGTTGGTGCACAGAACTCCCATAGAAACAACAGCTCTGAGTTTCGCATGCGTAAGGACATTTCCTATAATCTCAGCAGTAGGGTGTAGTCAGAAGAAATCTACAACTAATATGGTGCTTGCGCTTGGAGAAGCAATTGCTTTAGCAGTGTCTGTCCCGTCCCCCCGCCGAACCAATACAGACATCGAGATTATATGCCATTATAGTCATTGATGTATTCAAAAGCACCTTGAAGTACCTGCTTAGATCCTTGGCTTGCCAAACTGAGCAGACTTCACCAATATTTGAAAATTAAAACAATGACATTATTTCTTTTATACGTTTCAGAAAGCAGCATAGAGCCTCCATAAGCTCAGAAGAAAATGATTCTGAACGCACCAGTCCTGTAATGTTGGATAGTATCAGTTCATCCCCACAGAACAAGCCAAACCAAAGTATGTACAAGTTTGCAAGATCTTTCTGTGTGCATAATATTACACTGCAGTGTGTTATATTCCAAACCAACAGCTGAAAAATATATCAGTTATTTAAACTAAGGCCCTAAGTAACATATTTTCTTGCAGGTTGGTCTAGAATGTCACAATCTGTGGAAATCTGTGAAGGGCTTGAGGACTGGTCCAGCAATTACCTTTCTAATTGCTCAGACACAGAAGAAGAAGATGGGAGCCAGTTGGTTAGTGATGCCTATAAAAATGGTTTATTTCAAAGGCACTAAATAGTGTGTCTGAGGATATCCACTGTAAGACTTCTCTTTTTGTTAAAATCTGTATTTGCTTATGCCTTTTGTGTATTGGTGTATGCAGTGTTGTAGCCGGGGTGGGCCCAGGATATTAGAGAGACAAGGTGGGCGAGGTCATATCTTTTATCTGTTGGTGACCTGAAGAAGAGTTCTGTGTAGCTTGAAAGCTTGTCTCTCTCACCAACAGAAGTTGGTCTAATAAAAGATATGACCTCACCCACCTTGTCTCTGTATATTGAATACATTTTGGTTAAGCTAGCTCTTGAAAATGCCCCCCTAAATGTTACATGTGCATATGAACCCTAAGTGGGATGTGGCAAACGAGACAAAGGATTTCTGGGGAAAATGGACACGGTTGTGCAGAAAGTGATAAAGAATGAAAAGTCATAATTGGAGCTGACCTTAATGGTCACTGGGGAGAGACAGTAAATGCTTCTAAATGTACCATAGGAGCCAGGGATTTGGACGTAAGAACAAGGAAGGGGAAACTAGCTTACAGTGCACCCAGACATGTGATTTGGTATCATGAATGCCCTTTTCACTAAGAAGGAAGAACATTTGATTATCTATAAGAGTGAAAGGCTGAGGGTGCAGGTTACTTCCTGATAAGCCAAGCTGAGCTGAAGAACATCAAAAACCTGTCAGGTCATCTTAAGGGAAAACATTGCAGCTCAGCATAGACTTGCTGGTTCTTGACTCTGGAAACGTATCATACATGAGAAGAAAATAGCCCAAAGCAATACAGCAAACCAGAGGTGGAAGCTTAACGAAGTTAGCAAGGAGTTTAAAATGAAAGTGTTGGAAAAGATCTCTTTAGAAGGGCTAAGAGAAAATATGACTCAATGGCAGAATCATATTGCAAGCAAAACTCAGGAATGTGCAAAAGCAAGAGTCATTTTCTCCAGTTAGCTCTGGTGGTGGAGTGAGAAAGTTTGAGAGGGCATCAAGGAGAAAAAAGTGTTTAAACGTTGTCAAGCAACGCTCCAACAGCAGGATTTTCAAGAGTATAAAATGAAGAAAGAGCTGGCAGCCACTGTGGCTAAAGCTGTGGAAGGCTTCTATGCCCATCTTGAAACAAAGCAGGGTGAGAGAGAAATATACAGACTGGCAATAAGAGAAGTAAAGATATTGGTGAGATCAAGTCACTAAAGATGAACGTGGAAATATGTTAATCAACGAGACCAAATTAAGGAACGGCAGAGAAATTACTTTGAAAGGCTTCTGAATGAAGAGAATCCGAGAGAACCATCCTTGTGATAAAACCACACCAGGATCTGATGGCACCAGTCCTTGAAGAAGTAGTTGAGGAAGCATTGGACAACATGAAAAATAAGAAAGCTCTTGGTCCTGTTGGCATACCAGCAGAAGCATGAAAGCGCCTAGGGTGTAAACATGTCCCTGCTTGTCTCCTCTACTGGTCCCCAGTTTCAAACAATTTTGAGGGATTTTTTTTCCAAGCAGCATTGGGGTGGGAGGATTCAATCTGACCTCAGCAATTTTTTCCCTATTAATATTTGTTGTTATTGTGTGAGTGCTAGGCAAGGGGAACAGAGCACTGCCTGAGATCAGGACCTCTACCTGCATCAATATCTAAAGCACATTCGAGCGCTCTCTACAACTTGCAGCACTAGCGCCATAAATGTTCACTTGATGTACAGAAAAAAAATAAGACATGGAAGTCACAACAGTACCAGAAGAGAAAAGCATCATTTTTCTTCTAGCTACTATTTGGATTCAGGAAGAAGAAGAAAAGTAGTTCTCAGCACCACTTAATTTGATTTTAATAGCACGTTATCAGTTGCTGCATGTATTACAGTAATTGTCTTTTGTAGATAAAAATGTGTTTATAGAAGTGTTAAGAAAGCAGGTTGCATGTGAATACTTATCTCCAACATTGTTGCATGATTGCTTATTATTATACAGAAGCCAAGAAGGGTACCACTTTCCCCACAGCAGCCAGGAATAAAGACTGTTCAAAAATGAATTACACCGTGTTGTGGAACAGAGTTCTTGTGAAGTAATTTTTTTTTTAATGTTAGTCTCCAGGAAAATATAAAGCCCTAGCAGACTGCAAGAAAAGAGGCTCGGAGGACCTGCTGGTTAAAAACGGGGATGTAATTCAACTTCTGCATGAGGACGGGGAAGGGCAATGGTAAGTATTTAGATTTCTTTTACCTTACCTCCAGGAACCTACAAGGTAACTATGCTCAATCCAATTTAACTCCGAATATATCTGCTGTACCTTTGTTAGTGTGTGTGCTCTACTGGAAAGCTACAGAATTAGCCCAGGTCTAAACTGCAATCATGGGGAGCTACTGCAGCTTGACTAGACGTCTAAATTAGTGAAGCCGCCTGAGTAATTACCCAGGGTTCTGTGGGGCAGGGGGACTCGTACAGTGTGCTTTGAAGTCCATGCTGTCGCGGCCTCGCTGCACTGATATCTGAGCTAGCTAGATTAGAGCGAGCTCGGCTATGTCTACCTGAGCTGCAGCCACACCCATTGACTGCAGGATAGCCAGACCCTTAGCCTTCTTACAAACGGTGAGTTCCATTCTTATTGACCTGGAAACTGTGACTGGGTTTCCCTTCCCTTCCCAGCTTGAATGAATCACGTTAAAATCAAACACGTTGCAAGAAAGACCTTTTTAAACACCTGACATTTCTGTTTGAAGCCTTGGTTTGAAGGACTGCTCTTTGCCTTTGTCCTCTCCCTGTCCTCTGCAGCTCAGCTCTGGGTCTTGTTCCTCTGGGGCAATTAATAATAGCACTTAGCAATTACAAGGCGTTTTTCTTCTTCAAATTGCTTTGCAAGTGTTAACCAATGAGCAGCGAGAGCGTCATCTTTTGGCTTTATTTAAAGCAGTGGCTTGCAAAGCCAGTCGGACGTGATGCCAATCACATCACTCTCGTGTGTACGGTTGGCTACGAAACTGATGTGCCTTAAGCATGTCAGCCCAATGAGCCATTGGCTCGGGGAGACTGATGGTGGGTGCTTTACTTCAGACACCCAGATCCTGATTCAGCAAAGTACTTTAAGCACATGCTTAAGTCCCATTGACTTGTTTTGCCGAATCAAGGCCACTGATTTGAATGTATTGTCTATGTTCGGTAACTTTTCAAAATTAATAATGAACATTGTGTGTAATAGGTCCCTTGCTGATATAAAGCTGTCCATGTTTTCCACTAATACATTTATCATTCAAAGGTTGGTGAAAAACCTGAACAGAAGAAAAGAAGGCTGGATTCCTGTCAACAGTTTGCAGATAGTAATCGGCGACTGTAGGTTTCGGACTGCCAAAGTCGCAGGTATCATACGATAAACATATATGAAATATTTTCAGAACTGGAATCAGATTTTTATAAACCATGGCTTGCGTTTTATTTTGTGTATCAAATTTGGCTATGTGAAACTCAACAGAAAAAAGCAATTAATCATATGAAAGCAGTTCCTCCCCAAAGCTTACAAAAGTAGTACGTGAAGCTGCTGCTCTATTTTGTTGACATTTTAAGAATTTGTTGTGATTTTTAAGACGAAGGCCCTGGTAAAATAATGCCAAATATTTAAAAATGTAGATAATGCAAGAGCACTTGGTACTGTCTGATGGGCGAAGAGATGGAGTACAGCCATTGAGGGATTTCCATGGCTGTTTTGTCTGCACATTGCTGCAAGTTTGGTCCCCTGAGTGACTATAATATCCCCTAGGCAAAATCATGTCACTCTCTAAAAAGATATTCATGCCTGGTCCAAAATCCTTTGAAGGGAGTCTTTCCATTTACTTCACTGGACTTTGGACCAGCCCGGATACAGCTTTGATAGGCCTCACCACTTTACTCACAGCTGACTGCTGGCTTACTGGTTAATGTTTATTGATGATAGACTGGGTTTCTGTGAAAGACTCATAGATTCTAAAATGTATTTCCTCCCATGATCATTCTTGGTATAAATCCAGACCTAGAGGAGAAAGAAAACACCTTTACAACCACTTGGCATTCCTGCACATTTTGTCTTACTACCCAGGTATAACGTCGTCTTACCATGCTGCAGAGTTGGAAGTGTGTGACTGAGGGTTATAAGCAGAACTACTTAAAAAAAAAGGAAAAATTTTCACACGAATTTATCCAGGTTTTTTTACTGTTTTTCATAGAAAATTTAAAATGTGAAAGCTTTCGAACAGATTTTATCAGAACCTGAGAGAGAAATATCCATATTTCTCTATTTTCTTTACAGTTGAAACCACAGAGGGGACGTCTACACTAAAAACGCCTCAGTGGTATCACTGCACCGGCCCTCCATCCGCAGACTATGTCTAAGATTTCCAAAGGGGTCCTAACCTCCATTTGAAATGTTTTAGGGATCTGCAAGGGCGCGGTAGCTAGGGCGATGGAAGAATTCTCCCTTTGGCCTAGTGGTGTCTACATCAGGGCTGACATCGGTTTAATTACATCACACAGGGCTTGAAATGTTTCCCAGCCAGGAGCAGAGTAGTTAAGCTGACTTAACTGTGTAGCCCATGATCAAACCATGGGAGATTCTGAGACGTTACAATTTCAGTGCAAAATCATGCTCAGGAACACTCAAAACGGAATGAGAAAAGCAAGGTTTTATGCCTTAAAATTCCATCTTGGAATTATCGGTAGGGATCTTCTGAGCGCTATCCCAAAGTTCCTCCCAGACTTCAACATCAAGATTCACCCTGGCAGCCTTGCCCCAGATTCAATCGGAGATTAAAAGACAAGCAAACTAAAACACCATCTCAAAATAAGAAATCGGGCCAGAACCTTTCCAAGTTCTCTCTGGGCCTGGTTATTTATTTAGAGGACCAATGCAAAGTGAGGCTCTTTCATAAAGGGCCTCAGGCTGGTTATTTAAACATGGATCCCACTGCAAAATAAGCAAAACAAAAGTACTTACATTTGTATCACTCACTCAGGGAGTGGGGAGAGGTTTCTCCTAGGAGATGCCCTCTGTGTATGGG